CCATAGGCTATGCCTCCCACTGTCAGCAGATCACAACAGTTCTCAGAGAACTATTTCCCATGCCCATAATAAAACACGTCTTCATTTCACCCATAAGAATATTTATCAATACCCACAAAAACAAAGGCGGTCTTCTGGAATGATTGACTCTCTTTTCATTTATCCTACACATTGAAAATAAATTTACAAATCATACTAAGAGTGGTGGCTTGAGAGACACAGAAAAATACTCTGCATTCTAAGCTACACCTTTATCTCCCAGACTCTAGAACAACTGAGGTTGGCCAAGTAGAGATGCCCTCCTCCCACACCACCATACCAGGAAAAGAAGGAGATGAGTATGACCTGCCTCTTATGCTTTGTGTTTGCATGGTGGTTGAGAGTTTCTACATGAAGACACTTTTTGAATTATCCCATTACTGTTTGAAAAGCTTTGTTACTCCCATTGTAAGGTGAATTTCCAAGGCTATACCACCAGGTGAGAAAATCCAAGTGACATGGTTCCATCTCTCAGGCTATAAGCATTTTAAAAATAGAATCAATACAATACAAGAGCAGAGGAACTGAGACAGTACTACTCTTGAGCACCGTCTCAGAATTAACTCAAGAATTTAACTGTATCCCCAAGGAAGTGGGAGGGAGCAAGACTCCCAACTTGAAGCATAAATTTTGGTGTCACCAAGAGGAACAAAGAGAAAGAGGAGGCTGCATGGATCCTAGGAATGTTGGAATGACTGGATGAAATCTTGCAGGAGCATAGTTATATATGATACTATACCAGAATCTCAATGTGACAACACAACTTCCCATTGAATTGACCATTGGTTGACCATTGAATAACAAATGGTCAACCACAATAATTGACTCCACTGAGTCACTGAACATAAACAGTCATATGACAGCAGATGAGGAGACTCTCAAGCTGGGGGTCTCCATTTGTTGCAACCGCATCAAGAGATGGCTATAAAGAAGAAAGTGAAAACAGAAGTGTCTCATAGTGAGAGAAACAATGTGTGCCCATCTCAGACCCCAACATCCTCTCCTTTCTCCTTGTAATAGAGGTCTAAGCTGTCATTTCACCTTGTTTCTGTAGTCCTAACTGTGTCCCAGAGTTTGGAAAGTCACAAAGTTTTGTGAACTAGGATGATCCCTGGGTTTACTCACAGCCTCATCAGACATAACTTAACCTTACCTGCCTGTACATGCCAGAGTATGACCTGAGCTCAGAGATGATAAGCTCAGGCCTACTAGAAGCTGGGAAATTTCTCAGTAAAGGAAGAAGCTTGATGGGGACAATGGCCAGAAAGAACACAATACCATTTTAGACTGAGCAGTGTTGTACAGTACGATCCCAAGAGGCCAGTACATAGTTCGACAGGGGCACAACAGATGCTTCCTTCAGAAAAAATTAGGAGAAGGGAGACTGGGAAGACAAGTGCACATGCAGGAAGGAAAAGACCCCAGGGATGAATGTTCCTACCATGAGCCACTCACAAATGCCGTGAATGATACCTGGCTCCTGACACTTGTATCAACTGTCTAACTATGATGACGCTTCTATTCAAAGTTCTAAAGGCTAAAACTCTATGCAGTCTGTCAAGGTCAGCCCTTGGGACATTGAAGGAACAGGTGAGTGGCTAGACAAGAGAACAAGTGACAGATTATTCATTTAATTGGATTTCCAGATCAGAAAATCTTAGTCGTGAGACTGAGTTAAAGTGCATGTGGCTTCATTTCTCAGCAGTTGAGTGGCCTTGGCTGTACCATATCTGCTCTGTGAGGCTCAGCACTCTCACCTGAAGTAGGATAAGAAGTTCTTGCCTTTCAACCCCCAGAGACATGCAGAGCCCTCAGGTCTGTGCCTGAACAAAGCTCACACACAGGGTATAGGGCCTTCAAAACTCTCCATCATAATTCTAGGACATGAATCAGGCACTATGCATCCTCAACCACCCAGAAAAAAAGATTTTTGGCTCCTGGAGCGGAAACAGTCCCTCCTCTAGAACTCTTCAGAGTTGGGTCCAAGTGGTTCTCAAGAGCAGTGCTGAAGTGTGCGGCTAAAATCTGAATTGGATTTTGGCCTAGGATACATACATTACTCAGCAAGTTCCTCCTCTTTTCTATTCTTAATAAATCACAAACTTAATTACCCAGAAAAAAATCTTTTGCACCAAAAAACCAGAATGAGTTTAATGTATAATTTATATATGAAAATATATTTGTCAATGTGTAATGAATCTCCACATAAATATTTTTGCAGTTAAATTTTTAGGAATCCATCTTTTCTTTTCCAAAGGAGTTACCAGACAGGTATGAGGCCTGAGGACTCAGGCTGAGTTGGGCAGGGAAACTTCAGCTTGTGGACTTCCCCAACTGATGATTTGGTCATCAGAGCATCAAGCAAGAGTTTGCAGCAGCCACCTAAAGTCCTGTCAGAGCTCTGTCACAACCTTTCTCTCTCTCAGTCTCTCTCTCTCTCTCTCTCTCTCTCTCTCTCTCTCTCTCTCTCTGTGTGTGTGTGTGTGTGTGTGTTAGGAGTTTTCCTGCTATTTCTTGTTCAAGATAGGTATTCAACATTGTCCTATCTTTATGCTAGGTCTCAAGGGACAAAAATCTAGTGAAGTATAGCTTCAAGTTTTAGCAGTTTGGAATCTACAGGCAAGTGAATAATGAAAAACAATGTCAGGTGGCAAATGCGACAGCTGCAGTTGATCCTATGTGCCAGGAAGCTACAGAGGAGCAAGTCCTCCCAACACCAATGCTATCTCCTAAGGGTCCAGGGTCAGGACAGATAGATAAAACAAGAGAACACTGCCAACGGTCAGAAAAACATATGCAAAGCCAGTGGGAGTGGTCATCATAGGTGGTACCACCATGCTTACGGCATGTATTGAAGTAGACCAACAGAAAGGCTGGATCGGAAGTCAGAAAACAGGTCACCAACAGGCCTGTATGCCCAACCCTGAACAGCACTTGACCTGGATTGAACACTTTGAACAGATCAAAGCTACACTTCACTTGATGAATAAATGGAGGACAAGTGAGGATCATGGGAGCAAAAAAGAAAGCAAGTGGATTTTTGTTACAAAGTATAGAGTTATGTTTTAATAAAAGTATCCCTTACAAGTACTTTGGTGCAATACTCTGTGAATCCTGGGTATGGTTCTGAGCAGTATCCATGTACCTGTCTAGTATTAAATGAAGCTTGATTCAAATTTGGCTAAAACAAAACAAAACAAAACAAAACCTTATATTCTAAGAGAACAGAACTTTTTCTGGACCTAACAGCCAAAGTTAGTAATACACCTTGAGGTCATTTAAGACTTAATATTGCTCTCCTACTGTATGCTCTGAGTGCTTGTTTAATCTGCCTTTAAAAGGACAATACAACAACCAACCTTAATTGTCTCAGATTTCCCATGTAATGAACTTCTACAACCTAATGCATAGCTGTTATCTTAATACATCTGGCATTAGTGAACTGCACCAAGTTTGAGCCTTTGAGACTTTGAATAGACAGGTCAATAGGGCACACAGTTGACTGAAGAATCAGGATAGAAAATACTGTTAACTCAAGGACCAGGAGCTAGGTGCCACACATGGCAGCTTTCGTGCCCCTCACTCAAGAATAATGCATGTGTTTTCCAACATGTGTTATAATAATCAATTGCTGAAAGTACAAATATAGGTTGAAAGCAATCTTATAAAATGATTATCCACCATAAATGTTAAATATAACATACAAATATCACTTGATAAACAGTGATATTTGTAATTCTCTTTGTTATCTGGGTCAATTGGGGTCAGTGGCTTAATCTCTTGTAAAATGTTGTTAAAGATTTCTATGTAGTCCCCATCATTCCTTCCCCCAAGTGATGCTTTCTGTACTGTTCAATAAAAGAGAAGGACAAGCATACACACAGACATGGACAGACAGATTCACAAGACAGCCTTCAGTCAGGCACATAATCAGACTCATACAGCAGACAGATGGAGATGGAAGACATAGGAAGACTGAAGATTCTTCAATTTAACTCTTGATCAAATGATACCTAAGGACAATGTTTGATTGATCTCTGTCCCTAATGCATGCAACACCAGCACATTATAGTGACTCTGAATTTACTATATGGTAATGTATTCAAAGAGGCCATAAAATGAAGGCAACATACACAAAAGCTATTCTCCATAGCAGGATCTCAAATCTTTACAAGATGTATTAGTCTACCTGGTGCTGGCTAAAAGTCCCAAGCAGGTCAGTTAGCACCAGTCTATTGCTTTGCCTAACAAATGACTTTGGATATAAACCACATGAAAGACAGGTTGGGTTCTTGCTTCTTGTCTGAAGTTGCTATTGCCATTTGGAGATTATGACTCTTTGTATAAGGAAATTTCCTGTCATCCTTCTGACAGATGTGCTGTGGGACTTTAAACACATCCCACAGCATCCTCTCATGTGAAGACATAAACATGGAGATGTGATGCAGCATACAGGCCTGAGCTGAGAACCAAAGTCTACACTCCAGGGAGAAAGGACCTACGTATCTCCAGTGCAGTCTGACTAGACCTGGTAGTGAGGGAGAAAAATATGCCCTTGGCCTGGGCACATATCCTGGTGGTAGAGTGCCTACCTAGCATGCACAAGGCCTTAGAGTCAATTCCCAGAATCAGAAAAAGAAAGAAAGAAAAGACTATGTTTTCTGTTACCAACCATGCAACTGTCAACCATCAGAATACAGTTTCAATGGTGCCTTCTCAGAACTGAGGCTTTCTACAACAAGAGAAAGCAAGTCCCCATTTCCATAGCCCATCTTGGTCCTGCATAGTCCCTGCCACATTCTTCAACTATAATCCTGGTTGGAAGACCAACCGAGGAGGACCAGAGCCCCAGCACAAGGGTTCCAAATCTCCAGTCTTCATCACGCATATGAAAGAAGAGCCCAGCCTTGGCTCATTAACTTTTTAACCTCCTGGAAGATTGGTGACTCCAAGCCACATACCTCGCTTGACCTTCGAGGGCCTGAGGCCTTCTGCCTGAGCCAGGGTGTCCCATGCCTCCCGCTCCCTCCAACGCCGAAGCTGCTCCTCTCGCATCTTGTAGAAGAGGATGTGCTTCTGCACATCACTGAGCTCAGCCAGAAGCTCTGGGTCGATGTACATGTCATGCAGGATCTGCTGCAGCATGATGCTGTGGAAGAATACACACCGAAGAGCAGCTGGTCAGAACTGCAAGACCAGGCAGATCCCTGGCCCAGGACAGTGACTGGAGCCAATCTTCTGTCCTAGCTCCTCACTTTGGGGTCACTCCAGATGTCCTTTCCTTGTATAGCATTTTTGTTCTGTCTCAGCTCCCAGCCAGCGATGAACTCATATCCGCCAGGACAGAAATATACAGCCAAGCAGCAAGAATCAAGGAGCTGTGAAGGGAAGCAGAGGCAGGAAACAGTCTAGTTCTAGATTCCTTAATGATACCTGTGTCTTAGCAGTGCCTTGTTTCATAGCTTCACCTGGAGTTCTGGGACAATAAGAGTCCAAACCTCTACTCAGACCCAGCCCTGCCTGGGTTGGTAGGTGTCGAGTGATCTGTTAGTGGAAGGTAACAATGACACCAGCTGTATCAGTGACACTGGCCTGGCCAGCTGAGAACTGATCCCTCCCCTGCAGATAAGAGGGGGTGGGGAAGAAGTAGTTTTGCCTACTAATTCCATGTCTTTTGAGCCAATGTCAAGCAGAGGCCTATGAAACATTCAGAAGCTTTTGGGATCCCCAGTTCCACACTGCATCTATTTCAACTTCCTCATTTCAGGGCACCTGGAAGACTGAGGTATTACTCTTTAAAGTGCCTCAGGGAGGAAAAGTCTCCCCTCCTATCTGTATTGGGTTCAAGGAGGAGAACAAAATGGAATCAGTAGAGGAAATGTAGGGATGTTCATGGTCATAAAGAGGATATCTTTTTATCTTTCCCTAAGAAGCTTTGCATATGCCTCTCCAGGGGGCCATTTGGGAGTTGTTGATGATGATATCTTTGTTGTCCATGTCCTTTACCACAAAGCAAACTTGACTTTGTGCCTTAACAGAAGCATCCTGGCTTCTGCTTTGTGGGGGCCACCTCTGGCATGGGGGGTGGGTAGGAGCTGCTCTTGCTGAGACTACCAGGCTCCTCTCTAAACTTGCTTGCAGAGCTGCTCACTGGTGCCCTTTTTCCAAACAGGAAAGCTCAGGAAAGGTGGAGTATGCCTGTGGCTATCCAGCCAGTAAGCTGCTGCACCAGCATTCTACGCGGGTTTCAGATTTGACATGCTATTGGTAGTTTAAAGCTGCAGCCCTCTCAGGGGAAAACAGGCAGATAGGATGTGGCACTGAGCTGGCTAAATTGGTAACATTCGTGTCTCCCTTCCCTAAGGATGGAAGATGGATCTGGCACCCAAAAAGCGTAGAAGGCACTAGTGAGTGTGACTATTTCTCCCTCTGCATAAAGTGCATAAAGGTACCAGAACTAAGCCGATTCTCACCAGCTAGGCTCACAGGATCAGAAAGGAGTACAGCAGCTAGCCACTCTCCTCTCAGGTCAGTCCCTTTGTCCCAATGTGACTCAGAGCTGAAAGCCTCCACAAAGGAACTCCTACTGGGACAGAACTATGGCCAGACCAGGATCTTTCCTACCTTTCCTTCCTCACCACAACTTCTACCGACTGCTACCACTGGAGCTCTTGCTCCCCTCAGTGCCCGGCCAGCCATTCTTCTCCAGCCTAACCCTGCCTCCGACGTGGTTATTTTTGTCTTCTCACCATGCATACTGGGTAGTCTTTATCAACTTGACACACACTAGTCACTTGGGAAGAGGAAACCTCAATTGAGGAATCGCTTCCATCAGATAAGTCTGTGAGTATATTGCTGATTGCTGCGGAAGGGCCCCGCCCACCATGCCGTTCCTAGGCAGGTGGGCCTGATCTCTACAAGGTAGCTAAGGAAGCAAACAGAGAAGCAGCCTTCCTGGTGATCTCTGCTTCAGTCCCTGCCTTGGCTTCCCTTGGCGATAGAGTGTATGCTATAAAATGAAATAAACCTTTTCTGCCCTCAAATTGGTTTGGGGCAGTATTTTATCACAGCAATAGGGAAGCAAACTGGGACACTGGTGAACCAAAGGCAGGAAGGACACAAAAGCATCTAGCCTCTTTCTGTGTCCCCAGATGCCTATAAGAAGGGACCAGAAGACAGAGTGAACACTGGTAAGAGCAGCAGAATGGGCAAACTGTCTAAGGTCCAGAGTTCCAGTCCTTTGAAAGTGGTTGCAACCCTGAGGTTTGTAAAAGACTAGGAGCAATAACTCCAGCTAATGCTACAATGCTCAGCGGGGGAGGGGTGCTCCCTGGCAATCCCAGGTCAGTGGGGCAGGAGGCCAACTGACACCAAATCCGTGGACCTGACCCAGCCGCGAGCTGTGTAAGGTTTCTGGAACACTAAGGGGGCGGCTCCACCACACTGAACGCCACCTACGCCCTTATCGTTGTGCCCCGCAGGCTGCGCCCATCCTGGCGCGCCCCCTCCTGGCCGAAGTGGACCACAATCCTGGCTGTGCGCGCCTGGTGCAAGCCTCAAACGCAGAAGCATCTTCAGACAGGTTGCATCCCGCTGCACCCCACCACCACACCCATACACCCACACCCACACACACATACACCCACACACCCACACACAAACACACACACCACCCCCAGGGACCCAAGTGGTGCCTGCTGAAGCTGACAGTTCCTTGCGGGGTAAGTCTGTTGTGCAAGTTTCTGGAAACCACCTGGATGTCCCTCAGCTGGGAAACATTATTCTTGTCACAAAAAAACGATGAAATCAATTGTCTGGAGGAGGGGAAACATCCAGGCCAGATAAACTGAAAAGGCAAAAACGTGGGATATGTCCACAGTGTCGTTTGTTTTAAAAATGTGTTTGAACTCCTGGGAAGTGGACTCAGACAGGGGACAGAAATGATAAAAGAGAAATTATGTTTTATTACTTCTGTGTAAACAAAGGGAAACACACGATGATTGCACACCTGATTATTTAACCCAACTACTTGGTTTCTTCTTAGAGAAGTTGCTATACACTGAGTTAAACAAGCTTATATATGACTAAAATCAAATGTATTTCAGTTGGGCAGTCGTGGCTCATGCATTTAATCCCAGCACTTGGAGGCAGAGGCAGGCAGATCTTTGAGTTCCAGGCCAGCCTGGTCTACAGAGTGCGTTCTAAATCAGTGAATGCTACACAGACAAATACTGTCTCAAAAAACAAAAACAAAACAAACAAAAAAAGTATTTCAAATTTCCTAAAATGTGCTCCAGGAACACTATTCCTGGAAAGCGGTGCCTCTTGGGCTCACAGCTAGGAAGAGCCCTGAAGACAAAGCCAGGCCTCCCTAATCTGGGTGAGTCAGGAAGTCACCTGGGTTCCTCAGCTGGAGAAAAGCTTTGAGACTTCCTCAGAGGAGGTGCTAAGGAGAAGGCACTGGAAGTCCTGTGCATGGAGACCCCCCTCCATACTGAGTCTTAGACTTCTGAGTCTCACGATGGCCTAGAACTGGCTATACAGTTGAGGAGGTCCTTGACCTTCTGATCCTGCTGTTTCCACCTTCCCAAGCCCTAGGTATACTGGCATGTGCCACCACACCCAGTTTTAGGTAAATTGTGCTGGGGGTTGAAATCGGGGTTTAAGCACATCTTCCAATCCCACTTTTGAAATTTAAATCAGAGTATGTTATTTCTCTAAGCAAAACCCAATTTCTAAAGTCTAAACTGGGGTCCTCACAGGGCTCCCAAGATGCCCAGCGATCTGCACTGGTGGTCCCCCCAACCAGCCTCAGTGTCACTGGCTAGAGCCCACTGGCCTCCCTCTGGGACAGTCACTACCTGGCTGCTCGGGGGAACACACCAAACACCTCCCTCTCTAGGGCCTCAATATTAGCTTATCAAGCTGCCTAGAACCCAGCTTGGCTACTCACCAAATCCCAGTCTTGGTTCATCCTCTTCTTTTGCAACGCTAGAAACCAGACTCAGGGCTTTCCACTGTATGGGCTCTGCCATACCTTCTCAGAGCAGCTCAATCTTTTCACTACCCTGTATTCATGGTTCCTCCCATTCACTTCCTCTACTCTGTGTTTTTCCTTAGCATTCAACTTTGTGAACTACTATTTGACTTGTTGATTTGTTACTGAATTTTTGTCTGTCTCTGCTAGGTAAAGCAGCCAACAGCAGGTGCTTTCATCTGCTTCACTGTGTGGAAAGAACACTGCTAAGTAGTAGTAGATAACCTTTATAGAAGACAGAGAGAGGCTGGAGAGACAGTTCTGCCATAATTTCCTACCATGCATAAAAACCTGGGCTTGATACTCAGCACTGCATAAACCAAGGATGGTGAGGTGCACACGTGCAATGCCAGAACATGAGCAGTGAAGGCAGGAGGACCAAGAGTTCAGAGTCATCTTGGCTTATTGGCAAGTCTGAGAATGGCCTGAACTACATAAGACTCTGACTCAAAACAATGGGGGGAAAGATAATGAGGAAAGAACTTTCTAGGTAGAATTGACTAGAGCTTGAGCAAATGCTGTGGAGTCCAGTTGTTGGACACTTGGACCCAGCAGTCATGGGCAGATGGGCTTCAGTAAAGGATGAATGGCCCTGCCATAAGCTATTTGCCCCGGCTCTAGTCATCCCTGCACATATATCCCTGACAGGCAGGGATGGCCAGCGGACTCCATCATCCTAGCTACAGGCAAGCCTATGAGAACAACTACTGACACATCAGTGACAGGAGAGTCCTCCTAAGATACTGTCCACTTGTCCTGGCACAACTTTAGTTGAGGAAGCTGTTCCCAAGAGCACACTTGGGACCTTAGTTGTACAGTCCAGGAGCTCTGTCAATAATTTCTGTCTCGTCACCCCCACAAATAACAGTAACAAACTTAAGCCAGGCAGCAGGGCACATGACTATACTCCCAGCACTCAGGAGGCTGAATGGAGGACCAAAGGCTTTAGGCCAGCCTAGTTAACATAAAAGACCTTGTCTCCACTGGGGAGAGGCAGGATGCTCAATTATTAGTGTCCTTGCTTATATGTACAGTAAATACTTAGAACAGCCTATGTGAAAAGCCATCCTGCCCAACATGGGAACAAATTTAACCTGTGGAGGTAGATAAGCAAAGAAAATTAGACATCTCTGGTGATAGAATCCCTATCTATACTTTAAGATGAACTAGGGATATGCCACATTCACGACCAGCAAGACCCAGTATTGGCCTGTGGAGATGGAATAACCAGTAAAGCGTGAGGACCTGAGTTCTACACTCCTGAATCCACATTATTTAAAAACAACAAAGACAGGAGTGCGGTGGCATAAACTTGTAATCCCAGCTCTGGAGAGACACAGAAAAGCAGATCCTTGAGGTTTGCTGACCAGACAGCCTGGCTTACTTGGGAAGTTCCAAGCCAGTGGAACAGCCTATCTCAAAAACAAGTTGTGTGTTAGGGGTGTGGGAGGTGATGGTTCAGAGGGTAAAGGCATTCATCCCCAGCTCGGACAAGCTGGATTCAATCTCCAGGACTCATAACATGGAAGAAGCCAACTCCCAAAGTTGTCCTTTGACCTCCATACACATTTTGTAGTGTGCATGCACCACACACACAGGAAGGAGGGAAGGAGGGAGGGGGGGAGGGAGGGAGGGAGGGGGGGAGGGAAACAGGGGGAGCAAAGCAAAGCTGAAGGCTGAAGCCAACCAGTCTTGCATGCAGCTGCATAGCCCACAGGTCTCCCAGACAGTCCTCTTTTATGACTCAGTTTCCTCGTCTGTACAAAGGTAAGCGTCACATCAGGTCACTTTTGTCCTCATTAGCTGGCTACAGTGAGTATGAGTAAGCCAGGCACATACAGTCACAGCGTGAGTTTGGGTCTTCTGATTCTCCATGGAGGGCCTGGCTCCTTGAAATGCTGAATTAAGATAATCAAGCATGGGCTGAGGTGACCATTTTTTTTTTTTTTTTTTTTTTTTTTTTTTTTTTTTTTGCTTGTTACTAACTGTGGATGCTGGCCTTCGAACTTCTTGCAGGGCAAAGGCCTGTGAGCAGTAGTAAAGAGTGGCCCATTGCAGAGACAAAGATGCCAACTGGCAACATTAAGACCCTCACTGTTTCCGCTGCCCCCAGAAAGTCCTATATTCCACTATTCTTACCTACATGGGAAGCCTGTGAACCACTTTTTTTTAGGTAGGCGTTAGCCCTGGGAAAAGAATGTGTACTGACCCCAGCTCCCCACTGTGGCTGGAATTTGGAGACCCAATTATCTTGTCATGGATGCTATAGAGGACAGGAAATGACACAAAGAAGCAGGAACTTGGGCCTTTCCTGATGCCATTTCCCCCAGGAAATCCTCCCAGCCTCCTGATTCAGTCATCTGACATGTTCTTGCTGGATGTAGGTTATACTGTTGAGAAGTGGTAATTCAACCCCTCTTTCTTTGCCTCATCGTGGGTAGCCAGAAACAGTGAAAGGATCCCTCTTTCCTAAAGAGGCATATCATATGCTCACAGGTGATCCTTTGTGCCTGCACCATCTTATGGAATAGGAAGCCCTGGGTCCTTGATGTAGAAGCACTACGGGGCTGGCTGTCGCCTTTCTATCTGGCATCTGACAGACATGGCCACCCCTGGCCTGCATCCACACTTCCTAAGCCATTCCTGGAGCCCCAATCCTGCTCATCAGAAAGCAATAGTCCATCTGATTTCCTCTCAACTGAGGCCCTTAAGCTACACTATGAGGGGATCTGCAGCCTTAGGCAGTCAGCAGGCTGTCCTGCAGACAGCCTCATAGGGCCCTTAATACTCAGTGATGACCAAGTACTCTGGTCCTGCCTAGTGCCTTTTTCAGCTACATAAGGGTCACACCCACAATTCAGATCCCACCAGACCCAGGCCACCCTGGCCAGAAGTGACAAGCTCTTTTCTTGCCTCAGAGAGGCTGAGAATTACAGTCAGCCTAACCCTCCAGGCCATGTTAGGAAGGCACAATCTAGGCCCTGCAGGATAGAGCAACCAGGAAAAAGCTACTGGTGTCCTCAACCCACCTGGGGTTTTATTTTTATTTTTTCCTCTAAAAAAGTTATCTTGTTTATATGTGAGGAAACAGAGGTGAATGGTGGATCCAACACTGAGGCCCAGGTCTCCCTAAGTCATGGCTTTGTACCCTATCTGTACCTTCCCACTTCATCCCATTTCCAGCTCTTATTTTCAGCTAGATAGTCTTTCCAGGCCCCTATTGCTGCACTCCAGCTGTACTTCTCAGTCAGATCTGCAACCAGGGAACCACCTGTCCCAACCTGAACACAGCCCCACACCTGGACCTGCATGTGAGGAAGCTGCTCATGGCCTCCAGGCTGGATCAGAGGCTCCATAAAGACAGAGCAGACCCATGGGCCTGGGCCTCAAGTTCTGCACAAAAGAAATCTACTTCACTTCCTTGAATCACAGACCTTGAGCACAGACTACCTGCATTTAAAGTTGGCCTCTCCTCTCCTCTCCTTTTGTGCACATAGCCAGACTTCTGCCAATCCCTAAAGGTGAGCCTGAGTTTTGAATGGTGAAACATGAGCCTAGTGCCTCTCTCTGTTCCTAACCAGCAACAAGGAGAGTAGGAGGTGGAGCCACAAAGTAGAAGCAGCCTCGGTCCTTGAGAGAGGGCAAACAGAGCATTGACAAGCCCACCTTCCAGTAGCCACCAGGGTCTATGAAAGCAGTAAGAAGTAAGCAAACCTTTTCCAAACCACTCAAATTTGAGGGGCATTTGTTTAGCAATTAATCTTCTCACTCAAATATATATGACAGCTTCCAAACTTATACACCAGTCACCTGAAACTTGAGCTCCACCAGATTGTCTGAGTCCATAAACCTGGTGGATTGGTGAATCCTGTTTTCTACAAGTTGTACAGTTAGATACTGAAGCTACTGGCATGAAGTTCACACTATAAGAACCATTGTCTTAATACCCAGTGTTGGAATTACTTCTCTATTTGCCAGGGACCAGGTACTCACTTTCTGACCTTTATTTTACTTTATGCTGTGTCAACAACTCCCTCCAAAACTTGCTGATTCCCTTTGATCTGTGATTGTTTCCCAAGAGTCAAAGTCGCCAGTAGGGAAGGAGAACAGTCCTTGGAGAGGAAATCCTGACTCTAAACCCAGTCATAACACTTCCCAGCTTCATGACATCCGAAAGTTCAGTCATCAGAATCCTCTTATATAAAAATGGAGAAGTTGTGTGTCTGTGTCCTCCTCCACCTACCACCTCAAAACTCAGGGACAATCATGAAAGAGGGGGACAGAAAGATTATGAGAAGCAAGGGTCAAGAAGGATCAGAAAGAGAAACTGTCTTTCGGACATGACTGGACCACTGTACTCATGAACTCAAAGCAGTTATGGTTGCCTGTACAAGACCAACATAAAATCAAGTCAACTAACACTCTAGCACGGTGGGAGGAGTCTACAAGCATCACCCCTTACTGAAGGGCTAGTCACAGCTAATGGCTTCTTCCCTCCAGAGTCAGCTTTCTTTGAGGGTTTCACTCCTGCATTGGAGTGGCCACAGACTGCTGGGAACAGCACAAATTGGACTAGGTGGGTTGATAAGAAGTGGGGAGGGGACCCGGGAGGAGTGAGAAGTAGCAGTGGAGATGATCAAAACACATTATATGGAATTATGAAACAATAAAAACATATTTTAAAATATATGCTTTTGTTGGTTCTAAGAATTACATTATAGGGGACGAAGAGAATTCACCAGCCAAAGGCTGGTAACTACCCCCACCCAGATTCTTAGAACATTCACTACAGATTCTATTTTGTTCTACCAAAGTCCTCACGTATCCACAGCTGCCAGGAAATTTTCTAACCTACAAAGAAAGCAGGAAAACATACCTAAAATGCAGCTATGTTAAAAAAGATTTCAACATTAGTGGTGCAAAGAGAAATTTGTAGGAAGAGTGCAGAAGGGTCAGGGAGAAGGGTGTTCAAGTGTCCCGAAGGGCATCAGAGTGAAGCAGAAGCAAATCTGGGGGCAACTTTCAGAACAGGTGATTTGACAAATATGGGAGAACCACTTTTTTTCTCAGAGTCCATATGATATAAATCTCACGCCTCAATTTGGCCACTGGTGGATGGATGGGATGAGGGCAGGTATAAGTGAGGGTGAGGTTTGGGCTGAAGGAGGATGAGTTCAGCAGTTTGGGATGTAGCAGCTGAGGTGTCTGCAGACATTCAGGAACTGTCACTCATGCCTGAGCCATACACACAAACAAGACCACCAGCACCCAAACACCCTCCATGGTGGTTGACCTGGGATGGCTGGACCACTAATCACCAGGTTCCACTTTTCACCATGAGTCAACAGTTCCTTTGGATAACCTGCCTGGGTCCTTTTAAAAGTGAGCTCTGCCAGATAGATGGTTACAAAGAAATATGAAGTAAATAAGTCTCTGGTTGTCACCAGTGAAAACCTGTGTCATTTAGGACACACACTAACAGCTGTGTCTGAATCTAGACTGTCATTACCGTTGAGGTATTTTACAGCTATGCAGAGCTAGTGTAGACTTTTTCTTATGGAAATATCCAAATGGGAGTCAGCAGATTACTTTTCAATTGGAAAACCATTTTAATATTACTTTACTCCACGTCGATTGATCCATCATTGTGATTTCTCCTTTGAATTGGTTGCTAATTTTTTCACCTCACTCAACCAATGAACTAAAATTAAAAAAAAAAAAAAAAACAAAAAAACAAAAAAAAAAAACACTTTGTATGTGCTAATCTATATTTATGTGTCCTTAACATAGCATGGGAAGGACCGTTGCCTGCTGAAGATGAAAAGACTCACCTGAGTCCATGAAACAAAAACCCACCATTTGTTCATTCCCGTGGAGGCTTCCTCACATACCTTCAGGGATAGGTGCTCAGTCCCTCCAAGAGGCCACTCCAGTGCTTTCCATGTAGGCCCCAGTTGTACTGACTGAACCAACAAGAACAGATCTAAAAGGAGATAACATCGTAATTCTATTCACCTTGCTGAAATGATGACTGTGTAGGCCCACAGGGGAAAATGCATAAACCTATAATCTGGGCTTCTGCACAAGTGCACAAGGCTGGCGTGGCTGGGCTTGAGGAGGATGGCACAGGGTCAATAATGAAACTAAGCTGCAGCCACGGGTAAGAGGACAGCAAATCCCCACTGCTTAGAAGACAGCCAATCCCCATTGCTTAAAGGACAGCCAATCCCCATTGCTTCTAGAAAAAGAAAATCACACCCACCTGACTTTTGCTGACTCTCAAGTTTTTTCCCCACATTTTCATTCCAGATTTTCTCCAAACCCAGGAAAGCACACAGGAGGTTATTCCCTGGTTTCTTAGTGAGCCTGGTTATTCACGGAATGGGAGGACATGCTTTCCCACTGGAGGCGAGGAGCATGTTGGGAACCCACTTCTCAGGGCCTGTCCTCCCTACCAGGAGGAGGAACAGATGGGGTCTGTCAACCATGAAAATGTGATGACCCAGTTTTCAAAACACAGTTTGCACCAGGCTGTACAACTACACCAACATTCCAGCTCTTTTTTCTGTCTACTCTAGACTCCTCTAGGCTTCTTATTCATCTTGGGCTCCAAAGTACCCCTGGGTAGGGCTTGGGGGTTCAGCGGCAACTTCTTTACTTGTGTAGGCTTCTGGAAGAATCCATACTCCAGTAAGACCAAGTGGCCCCATCCTCATACACTACCCTTATAGCACAGAAATCAAACAGATCTTGAGCTCCAAAGTCCTGCTGAGGTTCCCAGCAAACTTCAAAGACTCATCCCTGAAGCGACAGAGATGTGACTGCTTTGTTTCTGCTTACCCCAGGAATCTGTGTGACATTCATCGTGGGTAGCTCAGCTGGTGAAGATGTAGCTTCAGGTGAACATGCTTATGTTAAATGTTAAAACAACTTCACCTACCTCATCTCATTTAAGCCTTGAAATGCCACAAGGGATGGCCACTACCATCTCCATGTTATAAAAAAGAAATATGGCAACTGGGGGCATTGACCCACGCACCAGTACAAAGCAGTGATCAGGCCCAGCACGATAAACACACATATACACGTTAAAACCCTATTAAGTGATTTGAATAACAAATATTGCAGTTTGTTTTTTCCCTTTGTGCATATGCATATCTAGCTACAAAGTAGACACAACCTGTGTATGACTGTGGATGTAGTTATAGCACATCACACACATGAAGGTCAGAAGACAGCCTCTAGTGTTGGTCCTCCACTCCCACCTTGAGACAGGAGCTCTTTATTATTCTTCCACTGAACAGGCCAGACGAGCTGACTCACAAGCTTCCTGGGATTTTCCTGTCTACATCTTGCATGTCTTGGTAGGGGTAGTGGGATTACAGACATTTATGCAAATGCAAGTCTTCAATGTTTACACAAAAAAAGCCCCTTTATTCACAGCACCTCTCACCAACCTATACTGCAGGGGGGTTTTGTTTGTTTTGTTTTGAAATAAACATCTTAAGAGTAATGAAAGGAGGATAAGGGGAAGTTAGCAGCATTCCCAGCATTTGTGTTCTATCGTACAGGGTTATTTCCTAACATGTGACTGAAGCTGAATGAGCAGTCATGGGGGTAGTATGACCTTCCCTTCTTCACTTTATACCAAGATGAGCCATCATAGAGGCTAGAGGCTGACCCTTCCCTCAGTCTCCAGTGATGGGAGACACTGTGGCAGGCAGTGAAAAGGAAACCAGAAACTGCTGACATCACTGAGCCACTTGGGTCACACCAACTCTGAAACTCACTCCGCCTCTGAACTTTCCAGTTTCAGGAGCCAAAACCCTCCATTGTTCAGGTTGGTTTAATGGGGTTTTCTGTTACCTGGAGCTGCAAACATAATCCCCTGGATAGCAACATCTACTTACTTGTGGCATGACCCTACATTAGATAGCTTGGCCAAGTAAATGCACAATAGATCAATATGTTAAAAGAACCACAAAAAGCTGCAAAAAATGACTCCCATTTGAATGAAGACCCAAAGACATTTTTCTGGATGTATCCTTAAGAGTGGTTGTCTTTGGGCAAAAGAAAACATACTTCTCACTTTACTCTCTACTTAGTCAGCTTCTACTTATGTTTAAAAAAAATAAAATAAAATAAAATTTAAAAGTTTCAGGTAACAAATATGATAATTTAGTTTGGTAGTCATTAAGCTATATTTTTGAAGCCCCTGCTGGGATATGAGGTACAGAATATAGAAGAAAGCCAAGTGAGAAATAATTGTTTCAGAGCTTTGCAGGGGATACTTGTGTCCTTCCATTCCAAAACCAGCATCTGCCACTGGCAGATCAATCCCAAAACCCTAGAACAGTATCCACTTAAGGGAATTCTTTAATTCTTTCTCCCAAAATGAAAATTTAGCCCCAGGGTTTTAAAAGATATGTTTTTAAAAGATATGTTTATCATATGAGTAATTTGCTTGTCTGTATGTATATGCATCACATGTGTGCCTCATGTCCACAGATATCAGAAGAGCTTGTTGGATCCCTTGGAACAGGAGTCATGCGTGCTTGTGAGCCATCACGTGGGTACTGGGAGGCAAACTTGGGTCCTTTGGGAGAGCAATAAATGCTCTTAATTGCTAAGCCATTACTTCTACTCCAGCCCCAAGTCTTATAATGCTCATCTGACATTTTTCAGCTCCCTGGAGATACCAAAAGTAACTGACCAAAGGAACATCCCCTTTACATGTCTTTGAGGATAAAAGACAGATCTTGCACACTATAAAAAATAAGCTCAGCTCAAAGGGCTGGCCGGCATCCCTCTGGGCCACATCAACATATAAGTAACTCAATTAAAACCATGATGAAGGGTAGAGTATTCCCAAGATTCAAGGCTGACAAAGTGGTACCATGGTCCTCAAGGACAGAGAAATGTAATGCTGGAACAAAGGCCCAGCCACAGTCATATAAACACTGTATCCCTCACTTATCAGAGTTGAGGAATTTCAACCAATTCCTCTATCTCTGAGGCGATTCAAGTGGCCCCATGAAGAGACTGAGGTTTCCTCCCTCTGCTGAGGAGCCCTACAACAGCAGCAGCCTGCAATGCTATCTCAGAGGACTCCGAACTGTCTCTCAGAAAAGAAAGTGTCTGATCCTGCACTTCTCAGCACAGAAAATCCATCGAAAAGCTTACCTGTGAATGACAGCTCTGGCCCTTCCCAGCAACCGCACTTTGGGAAAGCAAGTATTTCACATAGACCAGAGAGCAGTTTGTTGACTGAACACAGTGCTACCTCAGCTTGGGTCTTAGAAAAATGAATCCAGTGTCTACTGCCAGAGCTGCCAGATAGGGCAGTGCCCATACTCCTTGGTGGAACACTTTTTTATTTAGTATCCAGTCCAGCTAGAGAAGGGAACCTACACTCTGTCTTTTCCAAATACCTGTGCTAGAAGACCCTCGAGGACTGGCTGGATCCATCCTGGGCTAAAGCTACATTGAGGGAATACACGGCTGGCAGCCTGCCCTCTGTTCTTGCTGCAGGTCCAGGCGCTAAGTCAGGGCCTACAGGATGCAGCACTTCTAAACCCCTCCTGATAACTTATCTTTCTCTGAGACTTGCGTTTTGGGCCCGATATGGCTCCCTCAAAACTGTTCTGGGAACCAAATGAGTTTGTTAACTTACATTCTCTGAGCACTTCTTCCATTCCTGGAAGATTTTGTTTACTAATTTGTCATGTTAGGTAGGTAGGGACACTGTGTCGGGCTTCTCGGGGAGCAAAGCAGCTGGTTTTTCTGCCTAGCTCAGGACTCAGCCCTGTGCAGGCTTGCAGCCTGCCAAGGAGGGCAGGAACAACCGAGGTTTGTGGGCACCCAGGAGTATCACAAGTAGTGTGCCATCCCTTTGAAGCAGGGACGCTGCAGAGGGCAGTGCAATGTTAGGTGCCACAGTGGTCGAGGGTGGTTAAGCACTGGTCATGTGGAGAACGGAGGGTGGGAGACAGGAAAGGCCCAGTGACCCAGGTCGAAAGCTGCCTGGGAAAAGGATGGCAGATTCCTAAGGAGAGGCTGACAGAGGGACAAGGGACAGACAAGAGCCTTAGAGATTGAAGGAAGAACAGGGTGTGCAGGGATCACAAACTGGCTCATCAGCCCAAGAGGAACAGAGAGTGGGTGCTCAGGGCAGGCCAGGATATGTTTCAGACACTGATTACCCTGATCTTCCACTGTTTTATCGTTTAGCCACATGGGATGGACTGACATAGCCCCATTTTAAAAATTAACTCATGAATAAACTTCATCCTAAGCAGGGACATGTGACACGGGGAAAGACTCCAGATGGGCCTGGTTTGTAAGTCTATGTGAATAGTTAGTTGAATAGTAAGAGGGGCAGGAAGCCCTTGGTGTCAACATGCCAGCAGGGAGTGTCTGCAATCACGACTGCCTCCAGTAGGGCTAGTCATCTACCCTACCAACTGTAGATCACCAGTATATCCAGTAAAAGCAGCTCATGCAGCAGTGTCCTCTCTGGAACCATGGTCCCTGCGCACTTTTGCCTAGATGGGCAGTATGATCAGGGTTAGATCAAGATAACTGAGAACAATCCTTTCCTGAGTCCTAGAGAGAAAGTTTTCCATTTGATGGTTATAGCTGAGGGTGCCAAAGCCTAACAATTACAGGGTACATGGGAGAGATACGTGGAATCTGTAAGGATGTGCACACGATGGCTTGACTTAACCACTGGGTTTCTGTACCACCCAGTCACACACGCTGAAAGGTCAGCTCAGTGGCTCAATTTATCACCAAAATGCTTAAAGCTTTTTTTAATAGTGATTCCAAACAAACAAAAAAAGACTCAAACAACAGCATTAATATAAAGATATATTCCATAAAAGAGTTTGGCAGGTCAAAGAGAAGCATCACACTTCCT